CTAATACGAATTTAACATAACTTTTTGAACGCCTCCTTGAAAACAAAAAACAATGTCAATGAGAGCTTTCGACCAACTTAAGTACAGGTACCTGGATACCTGGAGGTCCATGTCTCATTTGGCTTGGGGGTTGATGTGCAATGACCCGTCAATACTTACGATTGGCTTAAGGGGGAGACGTACATCGTGTTTTACTGTCGTATCCATCCATACGACGTGGGGAACTCTGTGCCACCACTTTCCAAAGAGGAAATTTACTCGTTAATCCGATCCGTACGCTTTGCATAGCAGTCTGTCAAAATGATGTTTCGAAAAACGCTGAAAGTTTCAAAGAGATCCTGGTACTAGAAGCATTGTAAAATGTGAAAAATACAACCCCGGAGGTACAAAACGACCCCAGGGCGTACGGATAGGGTTAATGTTGTTTTACACTCTGTCAAACATAGGCAAATCCATGCTTACGTGTTGTAGGTCCACGTTATTCTTTGTCCACCTTTGGTCCTTTTGTCCCTCATCGTGCCGTCGACTTCGAGTATGTTCTTCACAATGGTCTGGAGGCGTTTCACATGGTCAAAGTATTGTATTTTTCTACTTTTTTTTTTTTAAACAGTATTTATTTTGTGTGGAAAATCTTATATACCTCATTGTTAGTCTCTTTTTCCTTTCAGCTAATTCTGGCCATTCAGCTGTAACACCACAACTCAAACTAATAATACTTTGTTTTCTTCTTTATTTGTTAAAGTCAAAGGTAGAGGCGCAATTTTGAAAAATGGAGAAGATATAGCACTCTACCATTTTTTCTTGAAGGTTGAGATAAAAAGGGCAATATCATAAAAGCAACAATAACAACCCACAACCCAATATCTTAATATTTGAGGGTTTTCTTAACATTCAGTGGAGTTAGGTTACAAAGGGAAAGCAATAATGTAATTGCTAATAAAAGTTCATCGTCCTAAAAATTTTGTAGACGGGTGCAAGAATAATTAATTATAGTATTATTTTGATCAATTTAAGATAAACATTATTAGTAGAATGAAAACGAATTTTGTTTATTTTTGCATTGTGTCTTCTCCAGTTTGCGTTTTAAAGTGTTTTCGCTTCCAACGGCCCGCCCTTCGTCTCCTTCATCTTGTAGTTTTTTCCGAGTAATTTTGTGTACGCTTAGTATTTTTTGGCATTGAGAGTTTCATTTCCCGCTAGCTGTATACTGTATTCAAGGCAGAAAGCAATGTGTCTGTCAGTTGGCCCACAATTCTGGGGTTTTTTTTGGTCTGTCTCTAGAACATCGCCTGCCAATGTCCTTTGGTGTTTCAAATTTGTTCTAAGCACACAAAAAAATAAAAAAAACAAAAACAAAAAAACAAAAACAAACAAACCCACCACCCCCCCCAAAAAAAAAACCCCAACAATCCCC